GCCATAAGAAAGTGGGAGCTTCATAACTAGGTTGGGTTTTCTCTGGATCCGTCTTTGTAGTGTCAGGTGAGATACGATGGCTGAAGAAGGCTACTTCTCTATCAATAAGCATTAAATAGGAAGGTCTATTTGTTCTCAACTGCTTAAATACTAGGGATTTTCCGTAGACGGGAATGGAATCAAGATAAATTGAACATTTATGTGGGACTAAACCATCCAAAACCAATTAAATTAGTCGTTGAAATGTGGCGAAGCAGTACACAATCAGAAGGACATAGTCCAAATCGTGGTTTTTGGACGATCTTTCGGATGGGCTTCAACCTGCTAGTAACTGACAGTGATATTACGGTGTTGTACAATATCAGTGCGTCCCGGGATATTCCCCTCATCAAATACATCGGAAAACTAATCTATTAACGCCATCATTTACCCGCAAATAATATTAGGGGCGAGCGGGTTGACAGAAGCTCGAATGTGAATAGGGGATGAGATTAAGTTTGCTTAGGACACGTAGGTTATTGAGTGTTATAAAAGAGTATAGAGACCGAGTTAGTGGTAACCCGTAAGTGCGCGACCTCTATCAGAGTGGAATATGAAGTATGAGCGTCTATACCGAGAATCAGATGCCATGTAATCTGTGCACAGATAAGGAATCGGTGGGCTGCATTGAGATCTCCAAGGTCAGTCTTTGGGTTCGTCGAAGCAAGTGCTTCTGGAAAACCAGTTACTTACACTGCTTGAATGGTTAAGTGCTCGCTTCCAGTTCGATTCAACTAGAAATAAGCTGTAAAAACAAAATAATCGAGCAAAGAATATTCTTTTCGATAAATTCCTCTTCCAGGCTCTACAATTATATATATGTTTTTATACACAGAATATTTTAAATTAGTAGTTATTAACAATATTAGCGTTTTTTCAAATAATATCGATTTGTAAAGTATGATCAATGCTATTGCAGTTCATTAATGATGCTTAAATTATAATAATAATAAAGATATAACAGCGGATAGAATATCAACTAAAATTAGGGAAATTTCACAAAATTCTGGATTATTCAAACCTGGATGGCCAAGGTAATGATAATGACTGGACTAACTTCTTCTGGGTGCATAAATTAGGCTTATTAATATGAATCCCCACAGCCTCCGCAATATTTAGAAGTCGAACTCTTAAAGCGAAATTGAGATTCATAGGTATGCGGTAAATGACCCTGAAAGCATGATTAACGTCAATCTTGTGTTCTGTCTCCACAAGATGCGCCAGAATAGCACTGCGAATAGATTTTGTTTGACCTTTGCTTAACCAGGCAGGGTGATGTTCGGAAATTCGACGAGAAACACGCCTAATTGTACGGCCTATGTAACTGGCTCCACAGGAGCAGTTAAATTGATATTCTATCCGCTGTTATATCTTTATTATTATTATAATTTAAGCATCATTAATGAACTGCAATAGCATTGATCATACTTTACAAATCGATATTATTTGAAAAAACGCTAATATTGTTAATAACTACTAATTTAAAATATTCTGTGTATAAAAACATATATATAATTGTAGAGCCTGGAAGAGGAATTTATCGAAAAGAATATTCTTTGCTCGATTATTTTGTTTTTATAGATGTCTGAATGAACATTTTTGCAATATAGAAATAAGCTGCATGATTGGTGTGTGGCCATCTATTCTGCTACCCCTGAGCTTTGGCCACACTACCTTCTGATTCCTTAGCTTGGCCTACTTCACCTGGTGACCAGAGTGCTCTCAACACTGCTCAGCTAGCGAAGGGAGTCTGCAACGTTTAAGGTTGCTCAAAGGCGTGTTTATTAATGATGAAATCAAGAGGGCATATAAATACAAAATGACGACACTACATAGTCAACCAGCTCTTGTCCCCTGAAAATCCGGTCGACAACCATGTGTTTCAATCCGCATGGGTAAACGCAGCGATATTTGATGGTGAGATTGCTCAGATTCACTTGGTTTGACCAACTCCTTTGATCCCATACAAGCTTCTATCTTAGCACTGCCAGCTGCCGCCTAGACACTGTGAGCGGGTACTAACTGCTGGTTTTGGGGCAAGTGTAGCAGGAAACAAGTCCTGACGAGAGACACAGGTGCGTTGGTATCCAGTAGTATTTCGGTAGGTAGCCAGTTATTGTGTCCCCATAACATTAATTGCTCACGTCTGAAAGGACATGTAGACAAATTGTAAAAATAGAACCTAATCTGCTGGAACCAGTGGTTGTATCTACACTGGTGCACCTTGGTGCCAAACCTTCCGCAGTAGTAACAGTTTGGCGGACTGCTGCATAAGATGCACCCACACCTGTCAGTAGCCTGATGCAAGGCCTAGAGTAGAGAACTTCTGGGTGCCGGGTAGTCAAAGTGAGGTTGTGCCGATGAGAGGGATTGGAAAGTGGTCACATTGCGTGATAGCACTAAGTTCACTTCTCAGTAACAGCTTCCTGAGGAGGGTTTGATTTTGAGGTAGCTTAATAAAGACATGTAGCTGAGTGCATTACCTTGATTGCGCAACCAATCGCCAGCGATGCCAACAGAACTATCCTGATGATCTTGTTTGTCTTGGTCCGCTTCTATATCTAGAATTTTGTCTGCTAGTTAATCTACCTCAAGAGCCCTGTGTCATCTGTTTTTGTGCCAGAGTTTTCGCTACTGATCTTGAGTTAGCTACAATTCCTGAGATCATCGGATCTTTACCCACACTCATGAAGTTTATATGTTCTTCTACGAGGCTTCTCCACTCCAGCATTTGATTCGCGACGCCTGCTAACGCACTAAGTTCAGATGCAAATAGGGATGCCGAGTTGGACACAGAGGCGCTGATCACGAGTATCGGTTGACTAAACTAAAAACATAATATAACAGCTACCTGTTTCCCCAGCCCGCACTATTTATGAGAGAACACAACGACATGAGCCACAATAGTGTGTAATTCAAAGTATCACCAAGGATATGTCAGTTAGTCCGTTATCATGATCAGTAAAATATTTGGAGTAACTTTACGCTGACCAAGTTTTTTTAAACTTTTTGATTACAGCTTGATTGTACACCGTATTTTTTGGTACATGTACGTAATTTTCAGCATGGATATCGGTAGCCCAAATTTAGCAGGCCGACAATAGATATCCGGTGTGCGTCGGCGGGGAATCGAACCCCGGAACATGTGCATGATCGGCGAGTGTCCTAACCGCTGTGCTACCGACTAGACATTGCCCAAAGTATCAGCCAACTGTTCAAGGGAGGAGAAGGGATTTTGGGCATCTAGTGCCTGTTGTACATACCCCATTGGTGCTCGCATTAAGAAGCGCCCCTCCAACCGTACTGTTTTGTGAGTAGCGCAAGAGCTGGGATGGCGATCTACATTTCATGATTTCTCCGTGAAACAACGTTGTTTGCGGTGGTTTCAGGGGTCGGAAAAGCGATCTACCTTCTCAGGCCTAAGTACACACGGTTACTAGGGAAGGAGTTGAAATATAGGTTACTGAACCTCCCTGCACATGCGGAAAGGTAACTGAGAGCCCACGTTCCTATACCTGGTATCCCCGGCCTATACCGGTCAAAGTAATGCTCTAGCCAAGTGAACAGCAGTTCAGGGTTACGGCCACTCAACTGCGGTAATCTAAATTCCGTGGCTATTGAATAATTTGCCTCCATAGAAGCAGGTTACCTAAGGTAAAATTTTAACTAACAGAAACTGGCTTCCAAGAGTTAGCTTGTAGGATTTTGATTTGTTTCAGTCCTGACCACGGAGTGTGACCGGATTATAGTGAGAAGTTTGACCAGTGAGGTCCGCCCTGTCAGAAATGAGGACAAATTCTCGCTTACGACATTGTTCGGTTGTCGCGCTAAAATCACAAATTGGTAGAAGTTAGAATCCATATGCCATTGAGTCGGGCCCTGGTGGCTGGATGGTCTACGAGTTCGCCTTGTGCCGGGAAGGTAGTGGGATCGAAATTCAGTAGGTGCGTGCTGACGACGAAACGCGGGCTAAGGCGAAATAGCTGTCCAGTGCTTCCTTGTTGCCAATGGTTCTCTGACTCGCATCAATCCTTGGCCAAACATGCATTTTGGGAGCTTGTGAGGAGGAAGCAGTTTAGGGAAACAACCAAAAGATATATGAATTACAGATAACTGCGATGAAACAGAAAGCGCATTGTGAATGAATTGAGCCCACCAGTTTAATAACTGACTCTCCTATCAAAATGGCTACCTAAGTTACTAGCCAGTAATGTGCATTATTGCAGAAGGAAGCTGTTAAGTACGAATGTTTATTTTGAATGCACTCTGGTGAACATATCAAGCGGGGAAACCTAGTCAGATGCTTGGAACAGCATTCACCATCCAACATCATTCAGCAGATAAAGAGACCTTCAGGAATCATGGAAAAAATACTTTTCAGACTTATTTTTTCGGCTTGTCCATCTAGATCTAAAATCACCATCTACCTCTGAGTAGCCACAGCGCTCTGGGTAAAAGAGTCTCTGTAAGAGGAGAATATAATAAAGCTACTTAAGGATGTCTTCAGTTGAGCCATGATACATGCTTGCTAACTACAGACGCTTCCTGTGCAGCCAAAAATTCCGTGACGTGTAAAATATAAACGCTTGACTGAGCACCTTTAATTTGACCAGTTGACCGAAACAGTGAAGGTTAGCATCTGATGTTCGGTGATGATGAATGTGTAGGTTGGTAATTTTGTGTTATTTACCAGCACGGAATTCTAATGAGTGAAGACAAACTTCATTTGTTTCCCTCTTCTTTCTCACCAGGTAAGAACAACTCAAAAGACAGTAGGAGAGTGAACTAGCCAGTGATGAACCTTTAGGCTGTGAAGCAAGGGTCCTCTCATGAATGATATGGTATCTAGGCCTTTATTACAGAAGAAAGCAGACAGACATGAACACCTGTCATTACTTATTACGTAAGGTTCAAGCCTTCTATTTTCAACAAAATACCTAAGTGACAGCTATTGAAATCTGCCCGCGCATGTCAACTGGAACGCTACATTTTGGCATGGTGGGGCATTTATGTCTTACTAATCCTGGTTAGTTGTGTAGTTATTGATTAATGGGCTGGTAAAATGTTGAGCCTTCTTCTGTGTATACTAATTTGGTGACGACGCGCTGTGGGCATCTACATTTAATTTCATCAATTAATTACATGTTCACTCATCGGTTAATTTGTGCATTTTACAAGTACTTTCACTTTTTTGTGTGTTAAAATATTTCAATAGGATCACAATTTAATTGTTCAGATTCTTATCTTGTTGTATAACTGGTATCAGTGCATTCTTTTCAAACAATGAGTTTGGATACCCAGCTAGCATTTTCTTCCTCAGTCGGTTACTTTTTTTTGGACCTGGGATATGTGGGTATAAACGTTTTGGCTACTTTGCCCAGGTGCATTAACCGACTGGGTCAGGCGCATTGGAGAACGTGTGATAAGGTACATAAGCCTGCCCCAAACATTCTGCAATGCGCCCGAATTCAATGCTAGCTGAGTATGTCAAGAGCAAGACTAATAAATTTGAATTCCATGTGGGTAAATCTTAATTAATGAGAGTAACATTCGTTCAGATCTTCTATCGACTTATTTATTATTTAAAAATTGTATTCAACACTAGCACATATCAATTATGCAACAATTTAAAACAAGATACCAAAACCTGTTACTCTCACTTATTAGATTTTGATTCCCCAACTGCGTGGTTAACATGTGCCATCGGTTTATAGGAAAATTATTTCACCTATTTGCGTCTCACACTAAGTGCTCTTGGCAATTAGGAAATATAGTTGTCAGGAGTTCCATGAACTGGTAGAGGAGCACAGGTGGGTGTTTCATTAGTTATGTGTGTAAATCTAATGTGTGCTGTGCTCTGTCTAAGTGCAAAACATTGGATTGACAGTAGCGTGTAACTGCTTCCAACCTCATAGATGGATTGTTAGAAGTAGTCGGGAAGTTAAGGCATCTACGTAGTTGTGTCATGAGGGCTGGTAGAGGTGTTACGGGCTAGACTTTGTAGCCGTATGGCGTCATACGCCAGTCTGAACCACCTCTGATTCCATCATAATTATAGTCTTATTGTGAAATATGAGGTGTACAGCATTTTTGAGAGCGAGATTAGGATGTGTAACAACTGTTCCTGTTTTATCATCACTGTCTGTATCAAATTGTTAGCAGTAGGTGGCATCACCTTGAAAGTAATTCTGGTGTCCAGTGGTGCATGTTTAGACAGATCCGAAACCATTAAGTTGTATCATTTTGGAGAACCGACTTCTGTGCTACAAATCTATTGTCAGTGGCTTCCATATCGGAAGACGTGTAGAAAAAAACATAGGGGTGGTGTGACGTGGGATGTAGAGTTGTTGTGTTGGATTAGTATCTGTCGGTGTCTCACGAGTTCTTGGGAGGAGCCCGCGGAATTATGAAAGCCGAGACGTTATCAGATGAGGCTCAGAATCAAAATCAATGGTGAAAATGTTGCGAGTTGTCGCTCTCTTCTCAACTATTTTATTTGTTTTCCTTATTTTATTACTGCGTTTCTTGATTTCCTTATCGTACAAAGTGTGCTTTAGATGAGTAAATAATTTTATAAATTGTGATATTTAGTCATTTTCTTAGCTTTACGGTATGGTGAAAGTGTTGTCGATTTTATTCGCCTCTTTCAATGAGTGACACATCAGTCAAATATGTTGCGTTTTAGCATATTAATGCTGTTGTTTGTAATTTAAAAATTTCCGAAACTTCAATCAGTTATCTATTCAATTTTATTTGGTGCAGTCATCGGCTATGGGTCTAACGTTCTTGTACTTCATTTGTTCTGAACCAGAGTTCTACGCTGAAACCAGTCAGTCAGTCAGTCAAGGTCACTGAGCTGTAACGGTTTACCACATGGCTTTTTTTTAATGAATCTCTTCGTTATTTTTCTTACAGATTATATGGACTTCTCACAGTGTATAAATCTTACTTCGTTCAATTCTGCAGACTACAGTTGAATCAATTCCAAGTCCGTCTGTCCGTCCGTCCACAAAAGAATTAAATGGCACTGTTAGGATATATTGGATCTCAGATACACGAACAATCTTTGAGTATTTTTGAAAATACTTTTGGTGGAGATCTTATCACCCTTCCGTCTATACAACCACCACCTCTAGAGAAAATAAAATGTATGCAATGCAGCGAATCTATGGATTTCTTAATGCAATTATACTGTCCAATTGGTGATTCTGAATATCATAGAAACTTGTACTTCTTTGTCTGTTTAAAACGTCCGTGTCAAGTGAGTGGAAATAATTGGAGAGTTTTACGCTCTCAATGTATCGCAGATATTGGTGAAGATTCTAAATCGAAGTCATGCACAAGTTGGTGCGCGGAATTCGGTGCTGAGGATGATGATGATGAGGCTTCTGATGGAGAAAGTTGGGGTCCTGTGACGACCAATAATACAAAAGAGGTAAATCAAATATTTTTCTCTGAATTTATAACGGTTTTTGATGTGGTTGTATTATCTGAGTAAGGTGGTTTAATTGTGAAACTTTTATTGTCTGTACTAGACTGAGTGACTGTTTTCAACGTAGAACAACTTTGCACAGATGTGCACCAGTTCGAGTTGACACAATACCTCCATGTAGCACACAAAGCAAGAGAAGAGACTAAAGGTACATTCAAAAGAGAGATAATAAACTTAAATGTGAGGCAAAAAGAATAGTAATATGGAAGAACAATATAATTTTATTGGATAGTGTAAATCACAAAGAGTAAATGCTTCTGTGCCAGCCATTGCCGATGATTTTCAGCCATGTCTCCGACCAGAAAGCCAGTCTACACCTCCCTACGTGGTTGACTTAAACTAACTTGTGGATTTCATTGACTGATGAAGGCATATTTCGGTTTGACCACCACTAGCTATTTTCCAACCTGATCCATCTTATGTCAGGCAGCTAACATTGCTTGTTGTCGAGGTAGACGACGGCTAGGGATGATATGCGTAACACATGTCCTAACCATCTCAGTCGATGTAGATTCACTGCCTCGTCTATTGATCTCCCCTCCCACCTACCTAGAACCCTACTGAGGCCTAACGTCAACATTGTTCACCCTATTATACCACTTCACACGGTAGATAGAACACGGGCACCTATGATCAAAGACAGCTAGCCGGTCTTTTCATGTCTTCTACTCTCAATGGCCATGTCTCACTCACAACCATAGAAGGAGGGCGAAGCGGACTACTCGGCAGTACACACGCCCCTCCGTCGATAGCCGGATATCACCTCTACTAAACCAGTGATAGCATACGGTAAACGAACCTTATGTATCCGTAATGACATTGCGTCAGAGGTCAACCCACGAGTTGGCTGATGTAACCATACAAACAAGTCAAGTAAATAGCAAACACGCTCCACCAACCACTTCACTCCTGTCTATCTTCAAGCTAAAGGTGAGTCGATGTAGTCCAGTCCTGCAGCTTCATCTTACATCTAACAGGACCACGCTAATCGTATTCTATATATTCGAAAATTTCTGCTGAGCTTGAGGTGTTCAGAAGACTGCAGTTTGTCAGCGTACTCACCTAGGTGGGAAGACTATATCATCTGCATATTCTAAGTCAACGAGATTATTATTCCCTGGTGGTAAGAAGTCAATCACTGAAGTCACTTAGGATTAAGTCCATTAGTACATCTATGATGAAATTAAATAGAATTGAGGACAGTGGGCATCCCACCCTGACGACCACCACTGGTTGCCATCACTTCAGATGACCACTGAATCTTTTCCAGTCCGATCCTGTCAGCTAACATTGCTTGTTGTTGAGGAAGGTGATGGCTAGACATGTCTGTTCTAGACAACATCTTCAGTGCAAACTTCAACATGAATTGAACACAACCACAGCAAAATCATCCACCTGAGCTGAAAATCTTCTGTACTTTTACAATTTATTGACTCTTGCATTTTATCCACTATGCTTTATTGCTCCTAGGCTACTCAAAAAGGACTCTGTCATATTGCGAAAGGCATTAAAGGTTGTCAATAGGGTAAGTAGTATGTGACTAAATCATCCCGTTACTACTGTAGTCGATAGACACCTGAATTCATGCGAAAGATAGGCGAAATCCATACTGTCTGACTTTCAATACCCTCTCTATTCACAAATCTCCACTCGCATTTCATCAGTTATATGCTCGTACAACTAAGTACAGGAACTCAGTGATACGCTATTTGACCCACCCGCATTCTATGTGACAGAGGATAGTGTTAAGCGTGGAACCTACGACTTACTATGTCATTAACAAAATAATTGACTATTTTAACCTCGTCTATTTGTAACTTGTGGTGACACTATTTCAATTGACTTAGAATATTAGCTATTAGTATTATTATGATTTCACGCCATTTGTACAATTTTGACTTTACTGTCACTGATAATACCGAAAAGCTGCTATTATCAGTTTCGGTCAGATTATTATTATTATTGTTTCCTTTAATTCCTGGAGGAACATTGGGCTTCAGCCGCACATCTCCATTGCGTTTGGTTCTCTGCCAACGTTTTCACCTGGCTCCACGTCTGCCCACATGCTTTCATCTCCTCCTCCCCAAACGACATCCTCCATGTCACCCCACCCTCACTAACGACCAACTAACTCGCCTCTTCCTTTCGGGTTCCACTCGAGCGATGGCCTGGTGTGTGATGTAACTCAATTGTTTTCTCAGAGTATGGCCAATCCACCTCCATTTCTTCCTGCTTATTTCTTGCACAATCGGTTCCTGGCTGGTTCACTTCCAGAGATCTCTGTTGCTGATCTTTTCTGGCTGGCCATCTGATCTTGAGTAGTATTGAGCGAAGACATCTGTTGATGAAGGTCTGTAGTTTGTTCGAAGTGCTCTTCATGACGCGCCAAGTTTCTGATCCATAAAGTAGCACTGATTTCACATTGGAGTTGAAAATCCGGATCTTGTTTTTGATGCTGAGTGCTGTTGACCTCCTGTGATATAATTTTTTCGTTTTGTTTTCGCTGTTATCGAATACCAAATGCTGAGAATTTCACACTCTGTATAATAAGTAATGTTTTTGAATAAAGCAAGTCGTTATTGTCATGACTATATTACAGTGTTTTAAGTCTTGCTAAGGTCGTCGTAACAATGTGGTTTGCTATCTGCACGACTTAACTTCTTACCGTTGATGTGTCTATATTCGAACCTTATTCACCACAATTATAAACAGTATAACCGGAGGTTTCTGACTTCGATCTCTGGTGAGATCGCTGGTATGCCTAATGCTGAACATTTCCAAACGAGGAAGAAAAACGAATATCTAGCAGCTCTTCGATTTTCGATGTTTCCTTGAATGATATTAACTTGTGGTAAAATAAACACAGAAAGTAAATATTGTCTGTTCACGGTAATTCCTTCAATGAAGAATGTTTTCATCGTTCTCTCTAAAACACAGGATATATATGCTTTTTCACCAGGAAAAAGATCGTGGAGGTTGTTTTTATTTAAGCAATATAAATTTTTCATCCAAAGTGATGACAACCAGTGGTGCCCGTCAGGGATACCAGCTCACTGTACCCATTTCTGTTTCATTTCACCATAGATGTGCTAATGGACTTAACCTTGACTAAGTTCAGTGACTCAGTGATTGACTGACTAATTACCAGGGTCTAATCTCGTTAACTTGTAATATGCAGATGATATAGTCCTCTCTCCTAGGTGAAGACTCTGACAAAATGCAGAGTCTTCTGAACACCTTGAGCTGAGCAGCAATCTTCAAATGTTTGGCATGCGATTCTTGCTCTCCTGTCAAATGTAAAATGATCCTACAGGACTGGACTACATCGACTCACTCCTAGCTTGAAGATAGGTAGGAGTGAAGTGGTTGGTGTTGACCACTTCACTTATTTGGGAAGTTGCATCAGCCAACGCCATCTGGTTGGTCGCTGACGCAATCCCATCACGGATAAAGAAGGCTCGTTTGGCATACGCCAACTTATGTTATCTCTGGCTTAGTAGACGTGACATCCGACTGGCTATAGGTCGAAAGACGTGTTTACTGCGCAGCGGTTCGCTCTGTCCTCTTGTATCACAATGAGACATCGCCATTCAAAATGGGAGATATAAAAAGGCCGGCTAGTTGACTTTGATCGATGATAGATGCCTGTGTTCTATCTCCCGTGTTAAGTGGTATAGTGAGGTGAGCGATAATGAGGTAAGAATTCGGTCGAGTGCTAGGTAGGTGAGAGGGAAAATCAATCGACAAGGTTGTAAAGTTATACTGATTGAGATGGTTAGGACAACAGGTGTTACGCATGTCTAGCCATCGGTCGCCTTCATCCACGGTCAGTGTTAGCTGACTGAAATAGGATGGATCAGGCTGGAAAAGAGGTACCAAACCAAATCATCAATCAACGAAATCCACAACAGTTAGTTTAAGCCAGGCGGTCATTCACTTAGGGAGGTGTAGACTGGTTTGTTTCGTGGTTGGGTTCCTCGGGATGGTGTAAAATAATGAAGGTTGGAGACAATTGGGGATACGGCTCAAAGTGATCGTTCTCAATGGTTGGCGCAAACGCATTCACTCTTTGTAATTTATAATATCCAGTAAAATTCTGTTGTTCTTCCATAATACTATTCTTTTTCCATCACTCACACCACTGTTTATTGTCTCTATTTAGAATCTCTCTTCTCTTGGTACATGAAGGGAGTGTGTCAACTCAAAGTGATGCACATATGTGAAAAGTTGTACGTTGAAACCGGTCAGTCAAGCAATCAAGTAACTGTATAATTATCCGATTGCTTAAGTTACAATTAATAAAGTGGTTATAATACTGAGATGATTGACTAAATTATAAGCTCATAAGAGTATTACGTTGTTAGGTGGTTAGATGCAGTTGGCAGGAAGCCTTTGACCTACACGTTTGTTGCTTGTTGACACTCGTCAGCAAGGCGTATCTGCAATCTTGAGGGAGCTCATGGCTCTTCTGCGACTAGGACCCGGGTCACTTAATGTGGCAGTCAGAGACATCACCACTGTGCTGTATGGACCCGCGTTTAACCTTCTGTAAAACTGTAGGGGATACTTTGTTTGGACACTAAGTAGTAACTAATCGCAGGCATCTCAGTCCTTCCTTTGGTGCAGAGTGTATTCCCTCGGTTAACTTTAGCAATGTGGTTAATATGCTGAGTGGCTCGCCATCACGGTGTACTATGTGTTGTTGTTAGATTGTTGTAGGCACCAAACAAAGGACTAGACACATGGCATTAGTTACTGTCAAGTTGTGTCCAATCAAAGTATCATGTTTTGTAGAATACTACTTCACTTCATCTTTGAACGTTGTGTCGTAGTTAGTAATAGTTTCACTATTATCTGGGTTATATATATTATTGTTCTTATTATTCCCTTGGGTTCCAAGGGGAACACATACCTTCAACAACACATCTCCACTTTGTTCTATTTCCTGCTGGCTCAACGATTGCCCATAATCTCTCATCTCCTCCTCCTCCTCGCCACACGATCTCCTCCATTTCATCCTCGCACCGACGACCCAGTCGTCGCTTCCCATTGAGATTCCACTCGAGCGATGGCCTACATTGCGCGCGATGTCATTTGACAGCCTCCTCAGTGGCGTATTCCCGATCCATCTCCATTTTCTCATACATATTTGTTGAGTGACCGGCTCTTGGTTTGTTTGTTTGCATTGTTTCTTGTTGTTAATTCTTTCTAGCCGGCTATTTGATCTTCAGTATGGAGCCAGAGAAGGGGGCAGCTGTTGAAGAAAGTCTTCAACCTGTTGGAAATCCTTTTCGTAACACGCAGTGCAAGTTTCTAACCCATATAGATGAGCCAACTTGGCATTTCTCTTGAAAATCCAAATCTTGTTCCTTATGTTGATTGTAGAAGATTTCCAAACTGGTTTCAGGTTGATGAAGGTGTACCCCGGCTTTTGGATTTGGACTGGCTTTGACAATCGTTGTCATTCGTCAACACTTCCTGTGGTTGAAATGATGCTTTCTAGATGAGTGAAGGACGTAACCTCTGTTAAATCTCTCCCTTTGATGGTGATTGGTGTTAGTTGTTGTTGCTGTTGTGGTTCGTTGGTTATCTTCATCACCTTCGTCTTCTCCATGTTCACCTAGAGTGCTGTCTTCGCTGCCAGCCAGCCTCCGCATCCAGTTTGTTGGTTTTCGCCTGTAAGTCTTCGAGTTTGTGTGACACTAGACGTATATCATCCGCGCGCGAAATCCAGATCTTCTAGAGTCTTCTTATCGATGGTCCAACGTATTCCTGCCTTCTCGCTCCCCACACACGATGTGCCGCATAATCCAGTTCACCACAATTAAGAATATCATCCGTGGTGATAATAGACAGGCATCCTTGTCTTACTCCTGTTTTCACTTCAAACGGCTAGCTGAGTTTTCCATTGTGGATCACCTGACACATGGCATTGTCATATAGCCAGATGTTAAATGAGGTTGATGAAGACCTGAGGTACGGCGTATATATTTATATATATATATATATGGCAGTAAAGTGGGCGTTTCTAGGTATATACTCCAACTACTGATAGAAAATTTCAGTAGTATAAAATTGCTAGACTCATTTGCATGGAACTTCATCACTTCCGCTATATTCACTTATTTTCCACAAATACACAACTATGCTAAATCTGTTGCTGTGTGAGGTTTATTTGTGTACTGTTTGAGGTATAGCTCATTGGAATCTAGGCACTGAACTTCCAACCAATAGGTCACACCTCCATCTACCAAGGTTTGGACAGTCAGGTAGGCAGGATGTCAGCTGGTTTCACTCACAAAACAGATTTGGCTCATTGCCAACTGCCAGTTGAATAGCAATAGTTGAACAAGGAAGTGAGTATTTTTACCACTTCCATATTCCTACAGTATTTGTAACTTGCTCGGTTAACACACAAATACTGTGCGTCATAGACAAGAGATAATAGACAGAGGTAGGGAAGCAGATGTGAAATTATCAACCTAGTTAAGCTAAAAATATGAAGTCAATTAGACAGGACCCTTTTAGAAGGCTTTTAACCTTTTGACTAATACGCCATACATACAAATGCTGTTTTTTGTATATGACGAGAAAGGACTGTGACAAGTACAGAACCAACCGAGAACCTGTTACCCCACCTCAACAGGTATGCAGAAGGAAATAAGGTATGGATTAGACATACTCCGAGAAGGCCACTGAATAAAATCACTTTCAATGCAGGCCCTCGAGTGAACTCCGAAGGGGAAGTGAGCGACGAGTTAGACATGGGTGCAAGATTGACATGGAGGAGACCGCGTGAGAAGGGGGTGAAAGCTAATGAACAGTGGTGGAGCCAGCTAAAAAGGATTAGAAAGAACAAGAAAGAAATAGAGGTGTAATGTTGAAGTCTTATACACATTCCACTCTGGAAACCCAGTTAGACCTATAAGTATTGATTCGTTGACTTGATTATCTAACATTGAAGAGGTAAATGATATTCTGTTAGAGTGATGTCACCTAATTTTATGCCTTTTTCTTCCCCTCTCTAGGTTAAATGTAAATCAGAAGAAAAAGTGACTGAAGGTAGTATCTCTTGCATCAAAGGTCGTTTCCAGTGTCATCCAATCGATATATACGAAGACAGCACAAATATTACAGAAAGTATACTCGACAATAATGAATGTGACAGCGAACCACCAGTAGAGGAGGAATCATCATCATCCGTTAAACATTTCCTCTCTAAATATTCCGAGAATGTACAAATCGATAAAGAATTCATTGAAGAAGATGACAATACACTTCCTGGATCATTCAGTGATACTTTGCTGGCATATCTATCCAATAGAGGAGAGTATGGTTGTGAAGATATACGTTATTGTTGGTCTGGTCAACCTATTTTCAATGGTCTCCCTCCAAGAAATGATTTAATTCAATGCTTAACATGTCCACGATGTACTGGGGAACGTGTTTTTGAACTGCAAATATTTTCTACAATAAATAATTCTTTAAAAGTGTTACCTTGTAAAGAAGAGTCGCACTGTCAGGAACATTCCACTCATGACGATGTTGATGATGGCGACGGCGAATTACTGACTTCTAAATCATGGTTGTTAAATATTATTACAGTCCTGGTGTTTACATGTCGTAATTCTTGTTGGAAAGAGACAGATGATTGGATAGAAGAATGTGTGATTGTACAGACGGATGAGAATGTGACAAAGATTAATAATCCAATAAATTAATATTATACATAACCCCATGTTTCTTTTTAATCTCTTCTTGATGATGAAATATATGTAGTTATTTCATAAACTTGCCGAGAGTGTGAGTAAATTTCAAGTTGGTGGATATAGATAGGGATAGATATTGGATGTCTATTCATGTTTACCCGTAATAATTCGATTTTTTACTTATCTGAGAGTCGTCTACGTAGAGTTCATGAAACAACCTATCTATCCTGGTGAAACTAAACTTTAAGCACTAATGGAATGCGAACGGATTAATAACATTGGACAGAACAAACACGTGAGTTCCAGCTATTGACTCACCCGCTCGATTCAATTCAGATGCCTGATTTAACGGACTCAGGTTTGAAATTTAGTCTCGACGAAGCATTTCATTGTTTGATTAAAGGAAGAACAACAGCAGATTTTTCAGAATAAAACCGTACCATCATTGTTGATTTCGTTGGCTTCTCATCAGCTGCTTACAGCTCAAAGATATCATTATCAAGTATATCTACAGAAACAATTTTTAACATACTTGCACAGCGAGTTCATTTTTAAACAAAAATCAATCATTCAGACATCTAGAAAACACAAAATAATTGAACAAAGAATAATCTTTTCGATGATTTCCTCTTCTGGCTCTACAATTATATACATATGTTTATATACACAGAATATTCTAGATTAGTGGTCGATAACAATATTGGCGTGTTTTTTAAATAATATCGATTTGTAGAGTAAGACCAATGGAATTACAGTTCATTAAAGATGCTTAAATTATAATAAGCATAAAAATATAATAACAACTAAAATTAGGGAAATTTCTACAAAAAACTGAGGATCATTCAAACCTAGATGGCCAAGCGGGTAAGGACATTGTCTGAACTAGCTTCTTTTGACCACACAAATTAGGCTTCTTAATGAGGATCCCAACAGCCAGCCCCAGCAATATTTAGCAAACGGACTCTTAAGGCGAAGTTAACATTTGTTGTTTGGTATGCGGTAAGCGACTCTGGAAGCCCCGTTGACATCAGTCTTGTATTCCGTATCCACAAGATGAGATAGAATAGCGCCGCGAATTGATTTTGTTTGTCCATTACTTAACCATTATGCAGGGTGATGTTCGAAAATCCGACGAGAAAAATGCCTAATTGTACGGCCTATGCAACTAACTGGCTCACTCCACAGGAGCAGTTAAATTGGTAGATGCACATGGAAGAGGCGAAATTAGGCAGTATAAGGGTGGGTGGTTTATACAGAATATCGTATATCCAATAAAACTCTGTTGTTCCACTATTACTCGCTTACATTTCTGTTTATTACCTCTCTTTTGAACCTCTCTTCTGTTGGTTTGTTTGCTACATGGAGAGAGTGTTGCAAGTTGAACTGTTGCACATCTATGCAAAGTTGTTCTACGTTGAAACCAGTTAGTCAGTTCGATGTTTTGGCTGCTTAAAGTTTAACATTACCGCTAACCTTATCACCATTTCGTATTTACTTCAACTTCCCTTCTACATTTCGGCGTTCCATATAAGAAAAGATTATCAGTTTATATGTATGCATGAGAAATATAATAGTTATTTTAAAACAAGAATAATGGTTGTTTGAGCATGTTTCATAAGTATCCGGCTAGTTTTTGAAATAACAGAGATAATGTTTAACTCAGATGGATAATTTTGATTGCGATGCTTCCATTGTCTTCCCAGACAACATCTTCAGCGTAGACTTCATTATGAAGTGAACTTATTTGAATTCTTCTTAAATGGCTATCCACTGTATCGTGATTGGTTGCTAATTTCCATTAGTATTGATCGTTTTTATTGACTTGTAGTTTCGAAATGTTTTGTCATGTAGTTTATTCTGTACTAGTTATGGATAAATTTGCTCTAACGATAATGTGTCTGTTAGTTGCTGATTTATTGTGTGTGAGAGTACCAGGCATTTTTAGTATCTCCACTGTTTAAAATTTCTACAATTTCCTAGTCGAATTGGTGGTCTACTCGACCGATAGCTGTTACCTTGAACGTGGTGGTCGAGCTTGCATATCGCAATGACCCAACAAGCTTCACTGGCTGGAACTGTTGTGCCTGCAGGTCCTACCATGCCAGGAAGATTGTTAGGAAAGCGATTAGACTGCAAGCAGTTACAGGTATAGTGTAAGATTGATTTAAGTATGAAACTTGGGCACTGTGGTAGAGTATAACTCCATAATGGATAGGATCTTATTTAAATAAATCACACAGTGTTGTACAGTTAAATTAACTGATGACGTTTCGAGCACAAACTATTGCTCATAATCATATCAAGTATGATTATGAGCAATAGTTTGTGCTCGAAACGTCATCAGTTAATTTAATTGTACAACACTGTGTGATTTATTAAAATAAAATCCTATCCATTATGGAGTGTAACATTTTTTTACACTATGCTGAGGGTCTGTGGGCAAAGTCGTACTGTTGGAGAACAGGGGTGTAATAGCAGTAAGATGTTTCCCTCAGATGAGCAGCATACCGGCTATGTTGTCTCTCCTCTCTGGGGAGAGGGGGCTAGAAAAGGTCGACCCCGAAAATTGTACATCCCAACTTACCCTACGGTGGTCCGTAACCGGCAGTAAGTTTACTAATACGGAACCAATTCAAGAAGCCAGTTCAGACAGTCAGTGTGTGACGGGCCTCAAGCAGTTGTCCTCTGGGCTCTGCGGTCACGCAACACCAATTCTCTTTCTTTTTCAGGTACCCCAAGAAAAAATCAACTACCACAGTGTGAGCAGCTGGGAAGTAGCAACCGCCCACACACTTCCAAATGCAATCAAAACCCTCCTGACCATCATTCTCCTTTATCCCTGTTGCTTTCGTCATCTTGCTTCCCTACTACTATCTACTATTCTGCAAACCGGTCAGTCATCACTTCATTCTGTAACCACAAATAATGATGAGATCCAGAAAGATACCCATGTTAGCCTCTTAAAGCCACGCTACCCACATCATATTGGAGCATTTAACGTCAGGACCCTCTGCCAAATCGGACAACAGGCATCACTAGCCAGAATTCTGACACCTCGAGCCATGAATGTATGTCGTGTTTCGGAGACACGTACACAAGATCCGAGTGCGGTTATTCACTTAACCTCACCCGGTTAACAAGGTGAATCTGCGAAATTCACCTAACGGGTGTCAGTAGACTCCTCAGCTAGTTCGCAATGACTCGCAGGTAAATTGATAGCACTGAGTGTTAGGGCGTAAAAATCACTTCTTGACTGGGTCCAGGTAGGTGTTCGTATGTGCGCGGTCCGTTAGAAAAAGGAAGGACGGGACTACCCGTCTTCGTCTTTTCATAATCTCCGCTTACAGCCTCAACCGACTGCAGTTTGGGTGAACCAAAGGATGGTCTCTACTGGCAAGTTTGCTGTGAAAAGCAAAACGCTTACATATAGTTGTTTTAGCAGGCTACTTCAATGCACAGTTGGGGAAGTTATACCAGACTGAGAAGTGTAAAGGTGGTACGTGCGGGGTTCCCTGTCAACCTAGGTTCCGTCTCTGACTGGAACACTAGGTGACGCGGGTTCGAATCTCAGAAGGAACATGAGTTCCCTCAATGTTGCTGACGAGTGCACGAAACCCAGGCCCAGGGCTCCATGCCGATTTCTGACCATCTAATATCAACAATTCAAAGTGCACTGTGATGACGAGCCACCTAACCACCACACTTCAAACTTGACTGATAGAATTCAGTCTGTGTTCAATCAAAATTCCGCATTGTAACAGACGTACTGTTTGAAATAAAGCCACGATTATCACTATCATCAGTAAACTGGAATTTTCTTTGAACCCAACACCGACCTACTGATTGAGAGTCAATTACTTACACCAATGATCCACGTGTCATGTTAACGCGGAGAGAGGCTCTGTGACTCGGAAATCAAGTGTTGCTCTGACGAGGTTTGATTGATTTGAGAATTAGTCATGAAGTAACCAATCAGAAAGTACTGGACCGCTAGTTTGAAATTCTTAAACAGTACGCTAGGGATCGAACGCAAAACTTTCAAGTTATGAGACCAAACTTATAGACCATTCAGTACCATTGGATCAGCATTCAATGACCGATCCTCAATTCACGCTTTGTAGCGCGACTGCCAACCAATGTGTATCCATCGGCAAGTAAGCCACTCGGGACTGGATAAGTACCCTGGTGATGTCACCTCCAACTACGTTTATGAATTTACGTGCACCTGCAGGAGCAAGGACGGAAAGAAGGGCTTCTATCCGGTTTTCTGAACATATTCCAAGAAACCTGTGCCTGAAAGGAGGTAAATATTCTCAGAGTCCAATTACCAAAGATATTGTTGATACCGGTCATCTCGTAGAGATTTCTAAGTCCTCCTAAATATTAAACAGACAAAGGACAGCAAAATTAACTACGATTTGCTGAAGCGATCGCAATCAAACGATTCAAACCAGACTTATGCATACAGAAAGAGAGTGTGATTAACCTCTCACTGCCTTGGTAACTGAATTTTGATTTTGATTACATTAATTAGTCATCTAATTCAGTGATTTCAACTCCCTGAACAAATCTCAACCTTATAAACTGTAACCGCTTTTGTTTTTTGAGTTGCTATGTGAATCTACAAACTAACACTGTTCTGTTAATTAATTTTTTCTGTTTTCTGTCTTACCTCTCCCCCCCTCTCTTTTCTACTTTGAAAGTGTATAAATTGATGATCAAAACTTAAAATGAAAATTGTAATGCTGCTTACATTTTGGATGCGTCAATTTTATAGTATTTCTTCTCTACTACCTCTTAAACATTAAAGTATGGTATTATCACATATATACCTATTGTAATTTCAGGTAGTGGTGTGCAGCTGATGAGAACCTGTGAAATAGAATGATGACATCATTTTCACACTGCAAATTTCGTCTTCCTTTCTTTATCGAAATTTATCAAGAGAATCAAATGTATGAAGTATTTGTTCTCACACTGAACTTAATGCACTTTACTGGTTGGTCACAACTTTATCCTGAGTGTTAGACCAATTTGAAAAAAGTAGATCACTATTCAACGTCATAGCTAGTCGACACCCAAAAGACACTACTTCAACATTTCGTCTTTCAACTATACTCCTCATTTTATTATATTGGTATTACTCACATTATATTCTTTGTCAAAACATCAGTTTTATCCCATCTAAACCAGTGGAGTGACCACCTGTTACATAGCTAGTTAGTTGTTAGCACTAAAACATACGTAACGTATATAACCACAAACCGCACTCGTTCAATAGGATACACGCACACACAATACATGCACACGCCTATGGATACAGAGGGCTAGTTTCGCATATACCAGTTTACGCCGTCTCTGGCTTAGTAGACGTGATACCCGGCTGGTTATCGATCAAAGGACGTGTGTACTGCTTAGCAGTCCGCTCCTTCCCCCTTTACGACTGTGAGACCTGGCCATTGAGAGTGGAAGACATGAAAAGCCTGGCTAGCTGTCTTTGATCATATGTGCCTGCGTTCTATCTCCCGTGTGAAGTGGTATAATAGGTGCTAGGTAAAGAGGGGAAATCAATAGACGAGGCTGTGAAGCTACATCGACTGAGATGGTTAGGATATGTCTTACGTATGCCTAGTCATCGCCATCCTCGACAACAAGCAATGTTAGCTGACATAGGGTCCGGCTGGAAAAGAACTAGCGGCGGTCAAACGAAAACATGGCTTCATCAGTCAATGAAATCTACAACAGTTAGTTTAAGCCACGTGGGAAGGTGTAGACTGGCTTCCTGGTTGGGGTCCTCAGGACGGTAAAAACCAATGGTTGGAGACAATCGGTGATACGGCTCAATGGCTGGCTGTTTACTGTCTCTCTATTATGCATTTCTTCTCTTGCTTTGTGTGCTACATGGAGTGGAGTGTGGCGACTTGAACTGCCGCACATCGGTGCAAAGTTCTATGTCAAAAACAGGCAGACAGACAGAAAGACAGCACGCGCGCCTATATATTATATTATCTGACCACTTTTATTATTTTTATTATTATAATTATTATCATTGCGCTTCGCATTACACAAAGATCAAAAGAGAGAAGAAATATTTGTTTTTTATGGTAATATAAAGTAACACATCAGAGAAGGAGAAGATGAAAAAGACGAAGAAGAACACTGAATACGAAGAAGAAGACAATTTCGAATGAGAGTAAATCACAGTAAGTGTCAGTGGTATGCGTGTGTATGCGGATATCTCTGCAAAAAAAGAAATCCGAGTGTTATTCCCCTCCTCCGTCACCTCCCCGTTGTCGTCCAAGTCTGCTGACTGATGGACCGGTCGATTGATCTATCGATCAATGATCTTTGTTGTTGTTGTGTATGAGAGAGAGAGGAAGGGTGTATCAAAGACGAAATTACATACAAGTTCCTTTATCAATCAATCAGGGAAAAGGAGGAAGAACTCAAAACTGCCAAGGGAAGCAAAACAATTCAAAGTGGAATGATCGAGCATGCGCTCAAACACGCACACACACACACACAAAAGCATACATGGGGAGTGTTCGTGTGTGTGTTTGTGGGAGAGAAAGAGGGACAAAAAGGGAGACAGGTACATCTACATAAATATGACATTTCTGAGATTACGCGCTTACCACTAATATTACTCTAAATAAAACTGAAGAAACATTGGCATCAAATAATTAAACGGGTAAGGTAACAATTACTACTTGTGAGCATCAAATAATAATAATGATAATAACAATAACAATAATGATAATATGTTTGAATGACGTAACAGAATTCCATCATTTGTCATAATTGTAATAGTAATAATAATAAGAGTTAGTTAGTTAATTAGTGAGTCAGTGTGTGTGTGTGTGTGAGTGAGTGTAGTAGTGTCGTGTGGAAGAAGGCCAAGAATGATAACGGGAAAGAAAGTATGATCACCATTCATTGTTGGCATTTTCTAATCAAAATACACACTATGTCATAATACGTATATAATATTATTATATTATATTGTACTAATTGGATAAGATATTATTATGGAATAGGGAGAGAACACAAAGGGAAGGGTGGTAAATAAACAAACGGAGAGATAATACGAAAAAAAGTGTAAGTGGGGGGGAATATTGACTGGTTAGAGCCATGGGGCCTGGTACATTACGCCACCACTATCATCATCATCACTATAGTGGGGTTAGTAGTGGTAGTTAGCAGTGGTTTACGCGTTGAGTTGAGTTGAGTTCAGATACAACCGCATACACAAGTAGATCGTGAATGAGTGCGTCGGTGGTGGTGGTGGGGGGGCGGCAAAAAGATGAACAAACCTTAAGATACATAGAGAGAGAGAGAGAGTAGTTACCGGCTTGTTATGTGTTGTGTAGTTAGGGTCTTGGTAATAGACCTTAATCCATCACACTGTAAAATAACAGTAGTAATAATAATGATAGTAATTCTAATGAGGAAGGTGGAGGTTGGGAGTGGTGTGGCTGGGGAACACAACGCGAAACAATTCATCGTGGTTGTCTTGTGGACGGTGTCCGCTATTAGAATAGTAAATCACTAAAGTGGTAGTTGACACAGTTAACTGAAAAACACACAAAATAATGCGGTGTTAATGGAATGTGTAGAAATAATGTCAGAGATTCGAATAGGGGGGAGAGGAGATACACACGAAGACAGGGAGGGAGATCCAGTAATGCTGGAATTCAAGAGATGGATTAATTTTTAATGTGTACACACGCAATTTGGTTAATGATAATAAATGTTGGCAACAAAAAAGAGAAGAAAAAGAGTTATACAAGAGACAAGAGAATGAGGAAATTGACGTGTTCTGTATATTTATATATGTACTCACGCTAACTGACGGATTAACTGATTTATCGATTTATTGATTGCTTGATTGATTAATTGATTAAGGTAGTGGATTGATAACTTCAACATAATTCACTGGAAAATAACCTTTACGACCGTTTAATTCCCCTTCAAACCAATTTTCATCTACACGAAGTATTAGACTGATGACATCACCTTCGGAGAAGGGTAGTTCAGATTCATTTTCAGCTTCAAAATCGAACAATGCTTTACACGATGGTCCTAATACTATGTTCAGGAAAAGAGACAGGGAGAAAGGGAGAAAAAAAGAATTACAGTAACATACTTGATAAAAAACAAACATAAACTATCAGGCAATTATTATTATCACTATTCAAGTGTTGGTTTGTAGGGATTTGATCGATTGGTTACAGGATTTCATCATGAGCTGACACTATTCCGAACAATAGTGATCATATACCATGGAAACTTTCGGCATTACGCATTCAGATGAAAGAGAGATGAAAAATATCCAGTTACCAGGGCAAAGAAAGACTGAAAAACGTTTCTTTCTGACTGCGTAAATAGGGTTTCAGGCGCTTAACAGAGACTGCTTCAGCAAACTTAAGGAGAATTGAACTCTTTTGCCTATTGATAATTTTGAACGATCTTGCGACTTCCACCGCACGCGTGACCCGTGTCAAGGAGATGCCTGGTGATGGCACTGTTTAAAGCATTTCTTCCCAGCTGGAGACATAGGCTTTTCGGTACATGGTTAGAAAATCGTAGATATGCCCTTCTTTCTGTTCTTCCGATAAAACTGCTTCAGTAGATAAATATAAATTTGTATATACAGTTGGAGTTGTTAGCGTGAGAAGGATATCTATCGATTTTCTATTGCATCAAAGAGCAAGTTGTTCGATAGACGGGAACAAGCTTAGCTGCAGGATAGGCTCTGGCTAGTGACGTCCACAATCTTCTGTTGACAACTGCTGTAATATTTTCAACTTTATAATCAAGTTGAATGAAGATGAGCTTATTCTGCACTATGATTTACTTGAAAACTGAGATTTCAGATCTTCCATACTTATTAATGAACCTTTGAGGGTAGCCATTGCTTTTCAACATCTTTTCGAGAAACATAAATTCTTCCTCTGATTTCTATATAGAGCATAATCTCCTAGCTCTATAGTATATATATATATATATATATATATATATATATATAGTGATTTTGAATCTCATAGAGTGGTGTACCAAGTTGAGCTACTGCACCTCTTTGCGGCGTTCTCCGCTGGAACTCAGTCAGTCGGTCAAGTGTAGGAAATTACAAGCATACATATAATATGGACTGACTGACTGACTGGTTTCAATGTAGAACTTTGTATACAGATGTACAACAGTTCGAGTTGCCACACTCCAACCCCGTGTAGCACACAAAGCAAGAGAAGAGAGTAAAGAGAGATTCAAGACAGAAGTGTGATTGAGCGAAAAAGAATAGTTATATGGAAGAACAATAGAATTTTGAAATAATACAGAAGATTTATAGCTCCGGTGGATGATTTGCAATTAAGTTGTGTTCTCTAAAGAGGAGCTGGCTGATTTAATTGCGAGGCTTTCGTCATCCCCTTTCTAGACAACATCTTCAGTCTGAGCAGGTTTTAGTGCGTGAAATGAACTCATTTGAATTCTCCATAATTGAATGATATATTTATGTCTCCTGTCAATCATCTTTGTGACTGGTAGTTGATTTACCAACTAATAAAAAGTAAATTATCACATGTGACAAGAAAGTTCAAATTCTAAGTCAATAAAAATATGATCAGTAGAGGTGTAAATCAACTGTCAGTCACGAAGATGGTTGCCAGGAGACACAGTTATATCATTCTATCATGTAGAATTCAAATGAGTTCATTTCACGCAATAAAACCTGCTCTGGCTGAAGATGCTATCCAGAAGGATGACGAAAGCCTTGCAATTAAATCAACCAGTTCCTCCTCAGAGAACACAACTTAATTCATAATAGAATTATATTGGATATTATAAATCACAAAGAGTGAATGCATTCTGCACCGTTTTTCTGATTAATTGACAGTTGACAGGTTTCTGCTTAGTTTTTTCTTCTTAAAGGGTGCTAATGATATCAAATTTATGTTTGACAAAAAACAAGATAATCTCAGTGTAGGAGACCACCAAGTGTACATGTACAACAACAAAAAATATCAAACGTCCACTGAAATTTGATATAAACTTTTAGTATGTTTTATATTGTTGAACAGGGGTAAAATTCGTTTGTCTTGTTATAATTCTGTGCGACACTGCGACATTACAACGAAATGTTGAGACAATGTGGCTAAATGGTTGTACTGCTCAACTTTCCACCAAACCGTCCCTCGTTGGAATCTTGTTTCGAAGCTTGGCCCACTCTTGAGTAGGGTTCAGGTTATCAGCCCTTTCACAAAATAAACGTCTGGTACACTACACGTGATTGGAGGACTAACGGAGTAAACTAACTTAATAATATATTGTGCGATGACACAACATGAGATTATCAGAATGAAAAGTTGGACTGCGAACTGATTAATTGACTGATCGATATCTGTTAGGCAACTATTATACAATCTTCAAGTATTGGTTTTGTAGGGATTTTTTCTTGATTTCATGAGCTGACATCAGTTAGAGAACCACTGGAAGTACTGGACAGCTGTTTCGTCCCAGTTTGGGACTCTTCATGAGTACGCACCCGCCAGGGTTCGAACCCAGGACCTTCTGGTTACAAGGCGAGCTCGTAAACAGTCAGCCATGGAGTCTGGGATAGTTAGCTGTTTCGTCCTGCTTTGAAACACTTCAGCGGTACGGATGCATCCATGACCCCAAGGAGGACGAGACCTAGGACCATACAAAACCAGCTCACTGACCGTTCAGAAACTCTCGAACGAAATCCAATGCCCTCCAACCTCTCCCCCGTGAAATTAAACTTCTGCGAATTTGTGATACAACAGTGTCACCACTGTCAGCCAAATCTTCATGGTTCTCTAACTGAGAAGTCAATTTGTAACCAAAGCTGAAATCACATTCAAATGCCTGAAAACTAACACGTAAAAATTATTAGAATAATCAAACAAAACTAATTCAATTGTCAAGTATTGGTTTGAAGGGATTTTGTTGTTTGATTGGTTGCAGGATTTCAACGTCAGCTGACATCAGTTCGTTCAACTGCAGTTTGAATTCTACTCAACCCCATCAATTATATTACGTCATTCTAACCGATTAACGCTTTCTGCATTACATAATTTGCTATCAAAAATTTACAATTCTAACGACACACACATCTTTGGAGATATTCCTTTTGAAGCTAAGACAATTTACGGTATATAAACATGCAGTTGTAGAGCTTGAGAATGATAATCGCCGACAGGAGCAACTCTCTTTGCTGAACCTCTCTAACCTACCTGGGTCAAATCTTTCCGCTTACCACTCCTAACTTTAATCTCCTACCACCCATCAAAAGACTGTTCACGGTCCACTCCTTGTGACTTGTGATTTCCAATGAAACTGTTTTGTTCTTCGTTATTACCATTCCTTTGTCTCACAACTCTGTTTACTGTCTCTATTATGCATTTCTTCTACTTTCTTCTCCTGCTTTGTGTGCTACAAGGAGGGAGTGTGGTGACTCGAACTGCCGCACATATGTGCAAAGTTCTATGTCGAAAACCGACCCACCCATCAATGTAACCCAATGCTAACTCTAGATATCTTGTTTCATTTCCCCTGATGATGATTATAGGTGTTATTTACCTCAGTTTCATAGAATTACTCTGCTTGCGAGCGTTTCAAAATCACTAGTGTATATATGTGTATGTTAGTAACCCCCGGATAGCTATTCTCTTTCACTTGACCGCTGAAATTAATCTCATTTGACGACGGTGGTCAGTCAGTAGTTGTTTGGATCCGATTTCTTCTCTTTGACCAGTAAGGTGCAGCAGGTCAGGTGTGAGGACAAATACTCTCCAGCGAAGACATTGGCTAGTGCCAGTCGCGCTATGTCGTGAATTGGCAGAAGTTAGAATTCATGCACTGGCCATTGAATTGGTGGGCTCCAGTGGCTTAATGGTCTACGAGCTCGCTGGTCTTGTAACCAGAAGGTCCTGGGTTCGAACCCTGGTGGTGGGTGCGTGCTGTGAAGAGTCCCAAACTAGGCTGACGAAACAGCTGTCCAGTACTCCAATGGTAATTTTCCGATGGTTCTCTAACTAATGTCAGCTCATGATGAAAATCCTGTAACCAATCGATCAAAATCCCTACAAACCAACACTTGAATAACAATAGTAAGTCTTTCTGCATTGTGTGATGAATGACATTACTTTTTATCATCAATGAGAAGAGACACACGTACACGCACATACACACGCACAAAGACACACACTAGCCTAACAGAAACCGAGAGAGAAGCAAAAGCCCTATATAATGTCAATAGTTGTGTGAGATCGATAATATAAGGATGAAATATACATATATATATTGCCCATACCTATTTTTGCATATATAGTTCAAATACTTAGGCAAAATCACTGACCAATCACAGAACAGTTAAAGGATAGAGAGGTAGGGAGAGAGAGAGAGAGATAGAGAGAGGAAAGTGACTGTTACCACTCTTACTATAATGATTATTACTACTCCTCTTTCAGAGTCATACACACAGGCGCTGACTGACAGACATGCTAACTAAAATGACGATGAGAATACGAGTGGGCTGGGAGTTCTCTTTATTATTATTATTCCTCCTTCTCTCTCTAACTCTTTAAGAGAAGAGAAGAAAGAGAATGAAGAAAATATTGGATAGGCTAGAAAAATCAATGATGAATAGAATTTATTGATTTTTTTGTTTGTTGTAAAACAGCTCTAATACTATTACTATTATTACTACCACTCCTTTTTATATCTCACTTTCTGTATACATTTGAAGGACAGTATTCAAAGTTTTATTTTAATTTCAAAATTTAGCTGAAATTCACTCATATTCTTGTTATACTTTCTCTCACACAGAAGAAGACAGAAACAATAGACCAGTCAGTTATTGTAAAATTGATGGTGAACTGAATAACTTAACTTTACACGAGTTGGTTTGTACGGATTGAATTTGTTTCTAACGTGTTTGACCACACATTGATCTGATGCTCGCTGCTAATGACTTACTACAGGACGAAGTTTCGTGGAGATCAAGTGAGAAGTCGTGACCAGTGAGGTTCAATCAGTAAAGTGTGATATTCGTTGGTGGTCGCGCTAACAATCACGAATTGGTAGAAGTTAGGATTCATGTGTTGGCCATTGAATCAGGTCGGGTCCCAGTGACTTAATGGTATACGAGACAGCTTGTCTTCTAACCGGAAGGTCTTGAGTTCGAAACCCGGCCGATAATTCTCAAACTAGGATGAAACAGCTGGCCAGAACTCCTTTGCTTGGTTTTCAATGGTTCTCTAACTGATATCAATCCGTGGTCAAACTTGTGAATAACTTTAGTTAGATAACCATTGGAAACCAAGCGAAGGAGTGCTGGCCAGCTAGCTGTACAAAGACACACGAACACCCATGTGACCCCACCAGGGAATGAACCCAGAACTTGACAATTCCAGCATAAGTGATTAAGTGAACGATCGTCATCACTGAACTCGCTTTGTAACCTGAGGATTCTCAGTGAGTACTGATGAAAGAAAAAAATCAGCAACAGAGACTCCTGGGAGCGAACCAACCAGGAACCGATTGTGCAACAAATAAGCAGAAAGAAATGGAGGTGGAATGGATTGGCCATACTCTGAAGAAACCATCAAGTGACATTACAAGACAAGCCCTTGAGTGGAACCCGAAAGGAAAGCGGCGAGTTAGTTGGTTGTCAGTGCGAGGGTGACTTGGAGGAGGTCATGTGAAGACGAGATGAAAGCACGTGGACAGACTTGGAGCCAAGTGAAAACTTTAGCAGAGAACCGAACGCAATGGAGACATGCGGCTGAAGCCCTATGTCCCTGTAGGAATTAAAGGAAACAATAATAATATTACTGATGAAGAGTCTCAAACACATGCGAAACAGTTGTCCAGTACTCCCTTACTAGTGGTTTTCACTGGTTCCATGTGACTGAAGTCAGTTCGTCATCAATCTTTACAACAACAAAAAAACAAGACAAACAACAATACCCTCTGACACTTGGAAATAGTTACATAGTTAAATAAACTTGTACAACTTACCAGGCATATCTTTAGCAGTATGCGGATTAGGACCATTTTTCGCTGGTGTACTAAGTGCACTACTCAATGGACTTTTACCACCTGTGTCATGATTTAATGTCCCTGAAACACGTTTCGGTTCATGGGATTTACGTGGTTTTGTATTGGTTTCGTCTTTCCTTTAAATAAATTGGAAATAAAAGAAATATATAACAAAATAACATTATAAAAAAATCGATAGACAAGTGTGGAGTAGATGGGGAGAGGTCAATCTTTTTTATGTAGTTGTGTTCTCTGAGCTGGATAGTTTATTCACGAAGCTTTCATTGCCCCCTACTAGGCAACATCTTAAGTGCATACTTCAATTTTTATTGAAGTGAACCTTAAGATTTCTCTACGAGTTTACTAGTCATCTCTCCTGGTGGTGACTTTGAACGTCGTGACTGGTTGCTTTCGTGTGTTTTCACACCCTCTAGGCTACTTGTATTGGTACTAATTGTTTCCTTGACTTGAACTTTGACCCTTTGTGTGTGAGATTTCCTTCTTGTCGGTCGGTAAATTTTGTCTATGTCAATGTGTCTATTGACTGACGATTCACTGGAATACTGGGCTTCTAAGAATCCTCTGTCATTCTTCGTGTTTCTCCTTCGTCTAATATTTGAACGTTGTCCCAGTCAAATTGATATCCCTGGTTATCTGTATA